TATATATATATATATATATATATATATACATAAATATGCATGTACATATACAACCCAACGGCTTTATAGATCAGAACAGTCTATGTAGTGTCACAGAAAACAATGCATCAACGGTAAAAATCCTCTTTCAATCACCTCTGACGCCTCGAATCTTCACGATTGCGGGTCGAAAATGCGGCAGCCTTCTCTGCACGTTTTTTGATATTTTTCTCTCTTTCTGCGCATAAAGAAGAAGCCATTGTAGAGAGCGAGACAACTGCCGTTCCATTTTCTTTTCGAACAATGAAGAAGTTAGTTTGTGATACAGCAAACTGCGCTAAGCCCCCGTACGGAACCAGTGCTTCCTGAATGTCTTCAGGTATAGAAGAGGCCCATTTGTTCACTGGAAGCCATGACTTGCCACTTGGGTAGAGTTCCAGGAGCCTTGCCACCAACTGAGGTTCGCTAAACGTATTGCGGCGAGCAACTTGTGAAAACGACTGCGGAGGCCCGCCCCTTGGGGGGCGGCCATCACGAGATCCACCAAATCGTGGTTGCTGTTGTTGTTGTTGTTCACGAGGAGGACAGCGTCCATAACCTCCGTTCGATTGTAGTCGTGCTAGGCCAGCAATGGTTATGCACCCTTGTAAACGAAAGGATCGCATGGTTGGTTTCTTTTTTCCCCCTTGAATCACTCATGATAATGATTTTTTTTTTAAAGACAGACAGAGAGACAAATTAATTTATAAACATGGAAGGGTCAGACAAGAGTAACATGCATGCGCAATAAAACAAAAACTGTGCTCAGTTTCCCACACATCCCTCCCATTTACAGCTTAGCCAATGAAACAATGCGAGTCCCATGTAATTCAACTATGCCTAGGCGAGTGGCAACTGCTTCGACATTGGAAGCAGTCACACCGCCCCCAGGCATTATAACAATTCTCCCCCGAGCGTGTTCCACCAACTCTGCCAGACGATTTAGATTACATTCAATGGCGGTGCCCGACGGCCCTCCATGGGTCAAAATACGGTGAAACCCGTATGAACACAGCGTATCAATAGCCTGAAATTGCTTGTCGGCGGGAATTTCGTCAAAGGCCATGTGAAACGTAAGAGACATCCCTTTAGCTGCTGACAACAACACACCAATTCTCTCGTCCACATTTCCACCCGCATCCAGAGCACCGACAACAACACCATCCGCGCCCAAACGTTTAGCAAGCACCACACTTTCTTTCATTTCCTGAAATTCCGCGTCGCTGTAGTGGAAATTACCTTCTCGACACCGTACTATCACCATTACGGCAACACCTCGACAATGACAATATTCCACAGTCTTCCGTATCGTCTCCTCCGAAGGTGTGACGCCACCAACCTCCAAGCGGGCGCACAGCTCAATCCGCCGAGCACCTGCATCTATGGCTTCAGGCACACGGTCATAGCCTTCGGAACAAAATTCTTTTAGTACCATCATCTTCCTTTATCCAAAAGGAAAACAAAATAAGAAACACGAAAGAAATAGGCAAAAATGGAAGGAAAAAGCAAACTTGACCACAAGGTTCCACCATACCCATAACAACAACAAGAATAACGACAACAACAAAATACACTACATTTCTCTGAGAACTGCGACAATGAGATAAAGCAGAGTCTCTACTTATCTTTGGAATACCAACCCTTTTGCCCCTCAGCATAAAGATTTTTAAACGCATCCTCGCCGCTTTTCCCTTGAGTAGTTTCATTTGCTAAAGATGCAGGTGCACTCCACTCGGTATGAGGTGTCATAGTTGTCTGAGCCGGTACTGCGTACTGCTCACTTGATGTAGTTTCCCACGAAACTGGAGCTCCTGTTGACCATCCACCATCAAGCATCGCATTTGCTACATTGTTGTTATCCCCTAAGGCTGGTACTCCGAAATTGACATCGTACTGAGGAGTAAACATAGCTTGTTGCGGATTATCGATTTGAAAGACATTTGTCTCACCAGGAGCCGCAGAGTTAGATACCGGCGCAGAAACAGTCACTGGAACACTTATAAAAAGGTCATCCATAGATATTGCAGCCTCTTTCTTTTCGGACACTGTAGGTGGCAAAGGTGCTGATTCCTTTGTAGGGTCTTCTTCCGTGATATCTGATGGCAATGGAGATGGCTGTTGTTTGGCCACATCCCCAATCTGTGTTTCTTTCAATGGGGCCTCATCTTGTTCATTCCTTATTATCCCCAAGCTTTCCAAAGTCTCAGTAACATCTTCTCTCGGGATGCTACTTAGGCGAACATCACCTTCCAATTTTTCCAGCAACGAAGGTGGAAGAGGCCTAAGCCGGGGAGGGGGCCGATCAAATACTTTGGTCGAGCTGAGGATTGAATCGAACAGTAAACGCAGTCGTTCCCCAAACACACTGTACTGTCGGTATAGCTCCAGCCACACTTTTTTCTGATGAAGTGAAAAGTCATCGAAACCGTCAAGTATAAAGATAACGCGGTCAGACAGGAGCTGATACAAGACTTTTCCGTCGTCAATAATCTTCTGATAAGCTTCCAAGGTACAGAAGTTATCCACGATGGCCTCTCTATACTCCACCTCGACAAGAGCACCAAGCTGTGTCAACAATGCCTCGAACAATGGGGTGAGAGAATCAACGTCTGACGAGCGCAAAACTGAGCTGAATTCAACACTCTCTAAACGGTTCACGATGCCAATCTTTTCCTGTGAAGAGGCACGCTCTTCGAGGTAACGCAAATACTGTCGGATAAAAGCTCCTTGTGCTGCCCCGTCCACATCTTCGGAAAGATCCTTTAGATTCCAAGCACAAAATATATTTCGATTTCGCTGTATATAGCTGTTTACCTCATCGGAGCCATCCCTCATCAAACGGTGCAATGTCACCAAGGACTTGAGCACCACAATCCAATTATGTGTATGCAATCGTTTCTCAAGCTCCGAAACAATATAATTGGAAATATTCTTCCCGTCACGAGTATCGGTTTTATAGTGCCCGTAGGTTGCAGCAAGAAGCCTCTGCATATGCTTCTCCTTTGGAGCCTTCAACATATGACTTGTAACTTTCATAATGGCCCGATCCAGCTCATCCCCTGTCACGCGACTCAACCCGATGATGGCCTTTTCCTTCAGGTAACCTGCGCCCCTCTTCAACTCATTAGTGTCCTTTTCATTCATTGTATCAGCCGCAACCACTCAAGAAAATCTTGCAGAAAGAAAAGCAAACAAACAAAAAAAAAACAGGGCATTGCAACAGTCAAAGAGGAATTCACCAGTCTCAAATGGACACAAAAGAAGGTAAAGTATGACATACTTTTGTAGTTTTTCACCTCAGTCTTATAATAGGCCAAGGGAAGCCATAATTTTCACCTCTTTACTTTATCAAATAGAGAGCCAATCGCCACTGAACTGCGTAAAAGAGGAGCAGACATTACAACAAGAGCCTGTGTTCACATATACACGTACAGAAAGAGAGAGATACTTCTCCAAATAGAAAAAAAAACCCTTACACAAAACAAAGATTCACCCACACCCTGCATGTACAGATCTGTGTCCAACACATGGAAAAGAAATGGGCGGTCGCCTCATTGAGATATTCCAAATGGGCGTAGCCCTCTAACTTCGCTCCAAGCCATCCTAGACAAAAGCAGAATCCAGTGCAAAAACAACAACCCTTACATACATGAATGCTATCACCGGTTGCACAACATGTCCGTATTCTTTTTCAAATATAAGAAAAAAAGCCAAGTGACTCACGGCTTGGCGATAAAAATACACAATGGGCATGCTAGACAAGCCAAGAGATAGTGATCCAGAGTTACGTAGTATCTGCATATACACATTTCTCGTCCCGACAAACTCACTCTGTTTTGCCACAAAGCAAGGTCATTCGCAATTTGCGTCCATAGAGAGTTGTAGACACTCTTTCCCCACTCTGAAACAGACCTCCATTCTCTCGATTCACTCTCTCCAAAGCACACACAGGATACACACAGAGAGGGAGAGAAAAAAAAAAAACCGTCATCTTAACTATATGGCAATACTTCGTAGTTATACGAGCCACCTGGCTACGTTTCCTGTCCCCGTACAGGGCAAATTACCTCAACGAACAAACCACAGTCATCGCAGAGCTGTACCTGATATCCAACACGCCACAGGTCCGCACCGCAGACTTAGAAACAAACGTCCCATGGTGTACTTACAGTCACGATAATACCAGGCATACCCAAGCAATCACCCGTCCCCAAGGCCACTGTTCAGCACTAAAAAGATATATGCTGAATGTAAGAGACCGATAGGCCACGCAACGCAACAAGCATGTTAAAGGTCACAATAAGCCACACGTGGTCAAACATGAACATATGTGATGCCCCAATAAATCCTGAGAAATGCAGAAACCTGTAGAATGACATGAAACCTTTTAACAAAGGATCATCCTTCCTTAGGCAGAACCCATTGTCTCTATATGAGGATAACAGCACAAATGCACCGCCTCTATGATGTAGCTCTGTAGTGACCAGGTATCAGATTGTCACCAACAAAAAAAAATCGTTCAAACTTCACCTTTTTATCCGTTTACTCAGCCTTACTCTTATTGAGACAACAGAAGAGGTGGAGAAAAACACACCAGCTCTTTTTTGTTTGTTTCTTACGCGCTCGTACGACCTTTTTTTTTTCATTTTTCCTTAGAGCCCCCCCCCCTTTGCGCTATAGATGAAAAAAAAACAGAGAAATACTGAGTACACAAACGCTTAAATTATGTATCGACAGAGAAGCGCATAGAAGACCTGAGAGCAACACGTAACGATTTACAATGGTCTAGGTAAGAATACAGTTTTCGATTCCGTGGAGTTCCTCTGAATTTCCCTTTTAAAGGTGCTAAAGGCGTTGGAAGTAGTAGAACGAACTGAGTTCTCTTCATGGCTCTTGGCAAACTGTAGTTCAGCATGTAGCAAGTCTATTGTCCTTCTTGCATTCAGCAACTCTACTCGTGCTGTGCTGAGGAGGCCTTCCATCTCCCGTAGATTCTTTCGAATAGAATGATTCTCTTCCTTCAAAGCAAACCGACGCCTTTTACTCTCGACAAGCAACTTTTTCATACTTTCTGCCTTGCCACTTTCTATTTCAAGTGCACCTTGCAACTTCGAATTCACCGCCATGATATCGCTCTTCTCTCGTTCATGCTCCAATTGTAGTGCATTCAACGTTTTGGCTGACAACTCTTCAGACGACTTCACGGCATCCCGTAATTTGCATTCCAATTCTCTTGCCTTGTCAGCATAACTAACTGAAGCAGACGCTGCATCCTGTCTAGCTTTTGAAAGTTCTTTACCCAGTAAATCCTTCTCACTTTCTAGCATCGAAACTATTGTTTTCAAATTTACAATTTCATCATTCTTTTTGCGCTCGTCATCATCCGAGTACTGATGCTGTAACTGCAAGCTATTCTTAAAAAAACCGACAACACCTGGTTGCTCGCTCTCACCCAAGACACTCTTACCACTCTTTACTACTTCTGAGTGAGCACCAGGCATTGTTTTTACATGCAAATCCCCTGATACCTGTACAACAGATTTAGTAGTTTCTGAAAGCTGCCTTGACAAAACCTTTACCTTTTCCAGCAGATGTCTTGCAGAATCCCAAGCATCTCGAATTGTACGCACATACAGCGCAAGAGACTCTTCGTACGATTCACAAACGTCGTAATATGCGGCTGGATCACTTCTTTTACGACCTCGCTCGAATTTCTTCATTTCCACTAATCGTTGTCTCTCAATGGATGGAGGCTTATAAGGAATTCCAGGCGATGTCACGTAAGCAAGTGAATCGATGCTGTCATCTAATGAAACTTCTAACTGATCTTCAATCTCCCTCAGTGAAACATCAACCTCAAACAACCACTGTCGATACAAAGGCAAAAGTGAGGTAACTTCGCGTAATCGACTAATCTGTGAAGTATCAGTGCTATTTTCGGACAACTGTTGAGTCTTCTCACGTGCTGACGATAACTCCAACTGATACTGGTTTATCTGCTCCTGAAGAAGAACAACTTCGGCCGAGGCCTTGGCATAGTTACTCTGTACCTTCTCTAATTCAAGTTCCATGACGTCATCCGCCTTTACTATACGATTCAGGCGCTCAATCTCGCGCTCACTTTCCCTGCTCTGATACTCTAGTTTGTGAATTGTTTCATCTCTCTGTTGAAGCTCTTCAATGAGTTTGGTCAATCTACCATCTACCTGTCCTTTTACACTGTGAAGGAGACCAGAAAGATGCTTGCGCTCTGACAAAGCCTCAGACAGTTCTTCTTCAAGAGAAAAACGACTTGTCTTAAGGCGGGCGATCTCTGCCTCAAGTACGTGTATCTGTGACAAAAGTACGCGTCTTGTTTCTTCTAAATCCTTCTCCAGTCGTGACACTTCCCTAGTCTGATCATCGACTAGAGAACGTAGGCGGTCATTTTCATCCTTTACAATCCCCAAAATCTCTTTTGTAACCACCAAATCCTGGCGAACATGGGCTATTTCTCGATGTGGAGGAAACTCTTTTTTTTCACTGACTGGCGCCGCAGACATTTCACCTTCTTCGCAATAAAAAGCAAAAAAAGAAAAAAAAACGGAATAGAATTCAAGTCAAGAGAAGACTAGAAGAAATGAAAAACCTACGTATAACATTTAAGCAAACATTATTTAAAGCTATAAGCTGCACCAAAACTATATAGTCGTAGAATTGCAACTCTACATTCATCAAGTGCTAAATATGTATACCTTCAATTCCCGTAGATGGTATATGCAAGATGCGATCGGTACCGTAACCATCAATGGAAACAACAGAGATATCGCCATCTATTGCTTTTGCGGCACAGTAGGCATAAGCCATCCGTATAGGGCTGTGTGTCCATGTGTCCGCCTCCTTCAACACACTCTCTGCAGCTTTGTAAGAAGACCAATACCTCAAGACATGTTTCACTTCTTCTAGAGGCATGCCACCAGCTGTATCTGATACGCGAACAGAAAACTCTTCATTACCCTCCCGCTGAGAAAGGGTAACATGGACAGGTGCACAAGGAGTGCCAAATTTTTCCTGTCGCACAAGATTCGCCTGAACAGCATCATCGATCATGGCGGACACAATATCATACAACATGTATGGTATGCCTGTAAAGGTCAGATTCGGATCACCTGCAACCCTCAGTTCAATTCCCGAATCTTCATACATATCGCTTGCTGAACGAATTGCACATTTCAATACCTTTACAAGCGAGCACTCGCGACATATCTGACCAACAAAGGCGTCTGGATTGTGATCAAAAAAGAGCGGAACTGTCAACTTCTCGGAATCTTTCGGTTCTAATTGCAAAATGCGCGTTGACAGATACATGTAATTGCCAACAATAAAACGTAGCCGTACACGCCCCATGCAGAACTCATCGAAAAAATCCTGCAACTCTTCGATTGCGGCCAATAGTTTTTTGTCTGAAAAAGAGCACTCGGTCCATCTCTCACGTTCTCCAAGCTCATGCATGCCCTCACTTAAGAGACTACTCACGTTATAATGTCGAAGGAAAACACGCCGGATAAATGAGTCAAAGTTGAGCGCACTCTCGAGATCAACGGGTGGTTTCGTGCTCTTGACGTCGTGGAAACTCCATTCATACCATCGACGGAGCTCCTGAATGGAAGGCATCTGAGACAAACCAACAGGAGCATGAGTAAGGGCACGCGCTCGTTGAGCCACACGAACAAGGTACTCGCGATGAATCACCTTTGCATGTGCGCAGAGATCCTCAAAACTCCTTATGTGCACCATATTCCGAAGCGGCAAATTCTGAGTCATCTGAAGGGCATAAAACTGATTCAACTCAACAAATTCCTCCGCAGTCAAAGGATTTTCCACGACCACATCAATTTGCCGAGCAGCCCCTCGGCGTTGCTTTGCCAGGACCTCAGCTGCAGCAGCAACATCTGGGGAAGCTGTCTCAACAGCCTGCCTGAACGCCTTTAACTCAATAACCTCCTTTTCAAAAGAATCCAGGCGATGAATCAGATCCATGAGGGTGGGTGTCAGAAGGCGAAAACAACGACGCATCGCACCCCTTACAGCTAAGGCGACAGGAACAAGTAGATAAGAAGAAAAAAAGAACCTGATACACACGTATTGCCATAAGGGAAAACAGGTTCAAAGAAAACAGATTTGTCTAATCAGGATTCTTAATAATAATTTAAAACAAAACGGATTGGCACCCCACTTATAAAGCAACAAATAGACCAACAAATTTGTCAAAGGTAATTGACCGAATTCCAAGCAAACGTACACACCATTCTATAAGCCATTAAGCTGAAAGAACGTTCACAGCATTAAAAATGGCAAGCAAAAAAAAAAAAACAAGACACAAGGTGAAAGGAAGTAACAATACCTTACAGCAAACCATTAAAAAAAAACAACCCAATACTTAGCACAACTGCATCCTTTCAGAATAAAACAGACACCAGAATACAACAGTACTTTAAACCGTCACTCCTCAAAGCTCCGTTTACCAGTAGAAAAACATAAAGGAGACACTACGCATATTACAATATCAAGAGAAACACCGAATATTTATATACTTCGCCCCCGTTTTTTCACGACATCCTTCATAGCATCGCAGAAGCGGCCGCCCTCGGAGAGCACGCTTGCTTCCGCCTACCGGTGGCATCGGGAGCCGTGCTTTTGTTGTTTTGGTCATTTTTGTGCTTTGCTACCCGATGGTTTGCGGCCCGTGCCTTTGGGGGGCTCGTGGCGCAATTTGGGGTGACGGCCGCCGCCCCTCCTCACGCCCGCTGCCCCACCGGGGGTTCCGGAAAGCGACCCGCCCAAACCCCGACGGACAAAAGCAGGGGGCGGGGCGTCACGCAGGCGAGGCCGCGGGGCCGGAAAAAGCCGGCGGGGGAAAAAAAAAGGCGCGTCGGTCCTTCTCGGTTTTTTTT